CCCTCTCATGATTGCCACGGTGTAACTTGGCTGCTTTCCCTCCACCCCCAGCCCCATCTCCCATCCTGCTGCATCAATTAGTGCCACTGGAACCCACCTAAGAGGTGTTGGGAAGCATTTCATTTCCACTGGGTCAGAGCAGGAATTACTTTTCCTACTCAGAGCCATTAGCTGGGGAGGGGGAGATGGAGGGAAGGAGACAAAGCCCCCATTAAATCAGAGCACTAACCCAATCAAGGGTCTGTTAGAGGAGGATAAAGAGAGGAAAGAGCCGCCTTTTGTCTCCCCACGTTCCCTCGGGGCTCCTGAACTTTCACTTGGTTTGATGGATGTCCCACAACGGGCATTTTATCTGATTATGAGTCTGAGAGTCCCGGCTTCGCTCTGGGTGGGGTGGCTGGGAGGTGGCAGCTGCTTCACCCCCTAAAAACCACCCATGTCTGCCCCTGATTGAGCTCACAGTGAGACAACAGAGGGGCAAATTAAATCACCTTCAGCAAGAGGAGGGTGAGATCACAGAACCACAGCACGCTTTGGGTTGGTTGGGATCTTAAAGATCACCCAGTGCCACCCCCTGCCATGGGCAGGGACACCTTCCACTGGCCCAGGTTGCTCCAAGCCCTGTCCAACCTTGGACGCTTCCAGGGATGGGGCAGCCACAGCTTCTCTGGGCACCCTGTGCCAGGGAAAGGCTTCAAAACCCTCTGAGTGAAGAATTTCTTCCCAATACCTGGTCTAACCCTGCCCTCTGGCAGCATAAACCCACAGTGCCCTCCTGCTCCAGGGCACGTGAGGAACCCTCACTACCTGAGGGGGGAGCACCAAAGTGGCTCCCTGGGGCACAGGACAGTCCCCCAGGACCCTCTGAAGTGTTTCTGCTGCAGCAGTTGGTCCTGAGCCGTCCCCTCCACCCCTGCAGCAGAGAGGCTGTGCTGTCCCTGCTCAACCTGCTCCTCTCACCCGCGTGTTTTTGGCTCATCCACGTGTCCCATCACCCCCCAGCCCCTGGGCAGGGCCAGAAGCTGTCCCTGCTGCTGCTGCTGCTGCACATACCTTCGTCCAGCAGGGCTGGGGACTCCTCCACCACGGGCTCTCCTTCTCCCACCTGGGTGCGGGCGCGCAGCACGAAGCGGTAGCGGGAGATGGGGTCTGTCCTCTGCAGGGTGAACCTGGTCTGGTTGGGGGAGAAGTTCTCCACCACGGTTCGGCCCGTTTTGGTCCCGTTAACTGGGGAGGAAAGCCAGGGGCTGGTGGGTTCAGGTGCTCTCCCCCTCCTCGCCTCGCCCTGCCCTCGCCGCGGGGGCCTCGTGCTCGGAGCTGCTGCTGTTAAAGGATCTTCCTTTGGGGACACTCTGGTGGGGACATCCAGGTGGGCAGGGAAGGCTCTGCTGCCCCTGGCATCGTGTGGGCTCTGGGCAGCCTCTTACACAGCAGCAGCTTGTGTTTGAGTGAGCACAGGAACTGCTCAGACTGCGCTTAAAACACAGATCAAACTGATTTCCCCCCAATAGCTGAGGCTGAGGAGCTGCTGAGCATCCCCCCACCCTCCCTGGCTAACTCCACGTGTCCCCCACTGTGCCAGGACCCCTCTCAACACTTCCTCATCATGGAAGTCGCCAGCTCCTTGTGGAGAGATTCCTCTGCTGGGGAGGAGGGAATCAGCAGCAAGGAACACACTGATTATCAGTCAGAAGAGAGCGTGGAACGTACAGGGTTGATATCTAAGGCTGTATCCTGTGAGGACTCCATTGGGGTGCTCTGGGTGATCCCACTCCAGATTGATGATTTCCAGGTTTGGCTGTCGGATTCTCAGATACCTGGGGGAGCTGGGCACTTGGGAGGGGAGGGAGAGAAGAGAAAACACACAAGATAACAACACACCTTACACTGCTGGACACGTCACAGACCGACCCACACACTCAGGGACACTCAGAGATACCCACACAGACACACAGCAGGAAGGGACTGAGCGAGGATCTGTGCCAGAAACCAAGAGCCAGCCTGGGGCTTGCAGCAGTCGGTGTGTGCAGGAGCAGAAAGCAGAGCAGCTCTGCATGCAGCCCCATCCCCACGTGCCCTGCCGTGCTGGGAACCCCCCAGTGAGGCCCCAGAAGGTGCTGCAGCTGAAGCAGAGCTGGGACTCGGTTCAAACCCCTCTCCTCTCTGTTGTAAACAGACTTTTTTTTGCGTCCCCCACCCAGCCCCAAGGTTTTCATCTCATCAGGTTTCTCTCTCAGAGCCATGAAAAGCAGCACAGCAGCTTCTCTTGTCCCAAAGTGTGATATCAGTGCCTGGAGATCTGTGTGTGTACAGTGGTCCTTACCCTGAGCCATGGCTGGGTTATCACTGCTTGTTCAAAGCCAGTGAAGGAAGGAAAGAATTACACAGCCTTGAATTAAATTATTCTCCTGGTTGACTCATAATTGCGGTGCCTTAATTGGGGAAAGAGCTTGGCTTGCTGATCTGGGAGATTAGGGGTGTATTTATTTTTAACCAGCAGTCGTGCAGAGTGTCATTCAGTCTCCTAAATGTCAATATGTAGTCAATAAAATAGCTTGGTGGTACAGGAAAAACAGAAATCAACGTTTTCCTCGTGACAGGGGTATAATCTGCTGTAATTGTTTCAATTAATGCCACCCACGTGTCCTTATAGCCACCCCAAATGCCTATAGCCACCCCAAATTATCTATAGCCACCCCAAATTATCTATAGCCATCCCAAATTATCTATAGCCACCCTAAATGCCTTGTCATCCCAAATATCTACAGTCACCCCAAATCCCTTGTGCCTCCAGCACACAGATAATCACCTCTCACAAAGCACTTCACTGCAAAACCTGCAGGAACCGAGTCCTTCCTCTTAAAACAATCTTAATTAAGGTTGATCAATAGAAAATCCTCAGAAAAGGGTGGCAGCATCCAAGAAAATTCTGGGGAAGAGACAGGGCTGCAGCAGGGATGGGATGAAGAGGAAAACAAAGAGGAATCCCACTGGATTTTGAGGCAAGACTTGCTCCCAGCAAATCTCCCCTTGTGTTTTTGCAGCATCCTGTGCCAAACTCCTCACCCCTTGTGCTGTAGAAGAGTCACTGCCAGGCTCTGGAAGTGCAGCTCCCAACACAAACCCAGCCCTGTGTCTATAAATAACCCCCATGACAGCAGGAAAATTAAAACCTCAAGTTCATCCTTGACAGGAGCTCCTCAAACAGAGCACTGAGGGTGCTGCTGCCTGGAGAGCCTGACAGGGGGACTGGGCACGTCCTTCCACAGCCAAAGGACACGGGGTTTGGGCAGATTTTCCTGCCTTTTTCCAGAGCAGGATGAATCCAGCCAGTGCCACGTCCCCAGCCTGCAGCACGGGGCCATCTGGGGGTCTCTTTGTTCAGCCTCAAATCTTCTTGCTGCTGCTTTCAGAGGGATTTTTTGGGTCGGTGAGAGCACCAATAGTCAGCTCTGGGTGCAGCTCAGAGGTGTCCCCTACCCTGCAGTGACAGCAGCAGCAGCAGCACGTGACAGGGACACTGCCCAGATGATGCTCAGAATTGTGAGTGAATAAACTGCTTCCTTAAAAAGGAGTCTCTGCAGCAGTGGGGGGAAAAACATTGGGACCTAATCATCAAAAAAGGGAGATTTAACCTGTGAAACAGCTCTGGGGGATGCCCATGTGTTAGAAAACCAAGTTACAGTGCAGGGCTTGCCACATTTTGGTGCTCTCAGACCCGGGGGATGAAGGTAACAAACCCTGGGAGGGGGGAAATATTGCTGAGATCTGGGCACCAGTTCACCAGGAATGGAGAATTTACAACCCATGAGGGCACTTTGCAGAAACCAGGCGTAAAGAAATGACTGAGCAAGACAATCCAGCATTTATGCTGCAACTCTGCCCATGTGGGGGTAAGAAAAAGAGTGAAACTGCTGCCTAATTAGCATGAGGAGTGAGAAATCATTAACCAGTGGAAAATAGGGTCATTTCCCGTCAGGACTGAGGGTCGGGGACACCCCCAGCCCTCTTGGGAACATACCTCCTTCAGGAGTGGGGAATTCCTTCACCTCACTGCGGGGCCCATCTCCTCTGCCGTTGGTCACAACCATCTCAAGTTTGTAGTTGCTGTAAGGGAACAGCCGGGACACTATGCCCCGGTTTCGGTCTCCAGGAAAACTCACAAACTGCCGTTTTTTGGAGACCCACAGGTTCTTCAGCAAGCTACTGTCTCTCCAGAAATAGGCCTTCAAGAAACATGCATGGCAAGTGAAGCTTTTCCCACGGAAATGCGATTTTTTTTGGTGTATATACATTATACATAAACCAAGAGCAGAACTTTGCAAAGGGCAGCTCGGAAGCCTTTTAGAGCAATTAGTTTGAAGCTCCACATCCCCCCCCCAGCGAGACAGGTCAGGGGTGTTACCCGAGGAAGAGGGTTAAGTGCTTTCCAAAGGCCACAGAGCAAAACCACTAAGCTCAGACTAAAAGCTGCCTCTGGTTCCCGAGCCTTGGACATGGAGGGATTGTCCCCCTTCCACCTGGAGCCCAGGCACAAAGGAAAGCCTGGATTTGGGAAAGCCTCCCACTCAAAGCCCTTGACTGCAAATCTTATTTCATGCAGAAATAAGATTCATTCAGAAAACAGAGCAGAAGAAGAAGAAGAGCAGAGGCAGAAACTGGAGGGCAGAGCCCAGCGGATTATCGGATTTGAGGTGCAGGGCAAGTGGTTTTGGTCTTGAACGCCGAGAGGAGGGCCCTGCTCAGGCTTTTGCTTGTTTTGAACAGGGTCCATCCTCTGTACACAAACATTAGTATTTTACCCCAGCAGTAAATAGCAAATATTAGGAGGAATCCCCAAAGCATAGCAGGATCCAGGCTGCCTGTAGTGACCAGTTAGTCCCACCCGCTGGGTTTGGGCTTTGCAGGGCTGGTGTTCATTTAAAGACCACATAGGAACTTGGGGGATGACACAAAAACGCCCCTGTTTGTGGTCACTCCCCCCAGAGCCACCTTCCTGCGGGGGTAGGACCCCCCAGCCCCTCTCGGGGGGTGCACAAGGACAGCCCTGTTTGCTTTAAACCCCCTGGATCCTGCAGGATCCAACAGGAGGTGTCCCCAGCCCCGCCCAGGCACCACAAAGAGCAAACCAACCCTTCCTTTCTGCCCCAGAGCAGAGCTCAGCCCCTGTGCTCTGCACCCAGAGCAGCCCAAGTGGCCAGGGGAGGGTTCCCTCTCGTCCCCAGCCCCGGTAGCTCCACCCCTGGAGCCAATTCCAAAGGGGAATTTCATTAGCAGATTAGGTGTGTTAAGTAGCCAGTGCCCAAGAGGTTTGGGGCTGCTCACTCTGTACTCCTTGAGCTGTCCCTGGATGGTGTCCAGGTGCACTCTGGTCCAGGTCAGAGCAATGGCAGTGCTGTTTAGGACTCTAATCCTAACGTCCGTGGGTGCAGCCTTGGGATCTGGGCGGGCAGGGACAGAGCACAGGGGTCATCAGAGCACAGGGGTCATCAGAGCCCCCCTGGGGGTCAGACAGACGGACACACGGACACCCCTCTGCCCCAGCCCTGGGTGTCCCATCACAGCACTGCTGGGAGCAGCCCCACGGCTGCTCTGCCTCCTCCCATGGGAAGGGGGAAGGAAACGAGTCCTATTTCACTCATCCAACCATCACAGCAGGTTTTCCTGCTGCAAGGAAGGGGGCTGGCTCCCCTCCATCTCCCAGTGAAGGATCCAGCACATCCAGCCCCCTCCTGCCTCTGGTCTCAGACCCCAAAGTCTCCCAAACTACCTTATTTCCACAGCCATTCATCTGAATTTGGCCAGAACTTGCTGTTGATGTGTGTAAAAATCTGCAGTTATTTGTGAAACGACTCAGACATGACAGAGACTATTTTTTTGAGGGTTTTTTGTATTTTTCTAACCTACCCCACCCCTCAGACACAGGCAGAACACATTTGTGCCTGGGCTGCGACACAGGAGCTTTGGTCTCCTGGTTTGCCTCCACATAACACACACACGAGGTGGCCTTTTCAGATCCTCCCAAAACTCACAATTAGTGCACAAATTTTCAAGAGAAACTAGAAGAAAACACAGATATGGTGGTGCAGCCAGGAGCTGGCAGATCTTTCCCAGTAACAACCTCTCAGCTGGGTCCAGCTTTGCTTCCGTACCCAGCTCTTACCCCGATTCCCACCTTTTCTACCCGTTTTCCTTCCCCTTGCCCTGTTTCCTCCCAGCTGGAGGATGTGCTGTCTGTGCCATCCCAGCCCCAAAACTGCAGCTTTACTTCAGGTTCCTGTGCCCTGTTTGTGCCCCTTGACGTCAAGCCTGGAGCCGTGGGGTTCTCACCTGGTTTATCCACCTTCCTTCTCGCTAATCCTGAAGTCCCACAGCCCCAAAGAAGACCCCCAAACCACAAACTGACATATATTTCTTTGAAGATAAAGCAGTTGGCAGCAAACCACATTATCCCAACGGGATAAGGATAATCATGGCTGAGAGTCTCGGGTGCTGCAAGCACAGAAGGTTTTCCAGCAGCCCAGAAAAAGGTGAAAAGAGAATTAAACGAGCTGGGTGCTGTTCTGAGTGACCAGGGGAGAGGTTTAAAGGGAGATAAGCTGAGCCAATGGGTTGCAAACAGGAGCCCAGGCTGGGGCTTAGCTGAGGCTTTATCAAGAGAGGGAATCCAGTGCAGGGTGAACTATGGGGCCTTTTGGCCGTTCATAAAACCTCTCCTCGGAGATGAACTCGGTGCTCTGCCCGTGCCAGGGGCACAAAATGTAATCCCAAACTTATGGGAATGCAGCCAGAGTTCACCCTGAGTGGGATCCTGCAGCTTCCCACGCTCCAAGTGCTGCCTGGGTGTCACAGAGAGCAAAGGGAAGGAGCGAGGGGTGAGGGGGTGAACTGGGTGGTGCGGGCAGAGCCCAGAACAGGAGCCAGAGGCCAAGCCTTGCTGCCAGTCATGGGATTGTGGAATGCTTTGGGTTGGGAGGGACCCTGAGGCTCATCCCAGTGCCACTCCCACACCTCTCACAGACGGGGGTCGCTCCAAACCCCGTCCAAGCCGGGACTGGATCCCTGTGGCAGGTCAATCTCCAGGCGCAGGGACAGACCCCCCGTGTGCAGGTGGGCTCCTCCCCAGCTGGGCAGGTACTCACAGTCCTCCCCGGAGTAGCCGATGTAGGTGTCGGGCTCGGGGGCTCTGCCGAAGTCGTTCTCGGCCTGCACTTTGATCTCGTAGGGGACGTAGATGGGCGTGTTCCACACCACGTGCCGGGGGCCCTTCACCGTCTCGTTGTACCAACTGCCCCGCGGGTCCCGGCGCCGCCAGCGCACGATGTACCTCAGGTTGGGCCCGTAGGCTTGGGTGGCGTTCAGGGGCTTCACGGACCGAAACAGAGACAGGGAGTGAGAGGGAGAAGAGCAGCCTGTGTTTCTCTCCAAGGGTGTGCTCGGTGGCTGGATCTGATCTCGGGTTCCATCAGCAGATCTCTAAGGAGGGCTGGGTGCTCTTGCTCCCAAAAGGGAGTAGGAACAAGGACATACCTGGTTCTTGCCCTCTGGAGCCAAGAACCTTATATTCCTAGAATAAATAAAATCCTGGCATGGTCTGGGTTGGAAGGGACACTAAAGCTCATCTCATTCCAGCCCCCTGCCATGGGCAGGGACATCTTCCAGCAGACTAAGGTTGCTCACATATATATATTATGTATAATAAATCAAATGTCTCCATAATATAGAGTGCAAACAATACATATTCCATATATATTATCCTTATATTCCAGCCTGTATTCCCACTGCAATCTGAAGCCTCCTCACAGCTTCGTGGCTTGTTTGTGGATGACACCTGGTGGTGCACGAAGCAAAGCAAGAGCTGCTCTGTAAATCCTCTCTACCACTAAGAACCCATCTCTCCGATGATCCTCCCTGACTTCTGAGCGTCATTCACCACATTTTGCCTGATTTACATAATTGAAAATTAATTTTTTTTTATCTCAACCCTTCTTCTAGGCACTAACAACGGCCTCTCTTGTGCTTTTTATTTCATCATAGAATCGTCAGAGACCGGCCTGGGTTGGGGAGGTACTTAAATATCATAGAATTATCATCCCATCCCACCCCCTGCCACAGCCAGGGACACCTTCCACCAGCCCAGGGTGCTCCAACCTGGCCTTGGACACTTCCAGGGATCCAGGGGCAGCCACAGCTTCTCTGGGCACCCTGTGCCAGGGCCTGCCCACCCTCCCAGGGAGGAATTTTTCCCCAATATCCCATCTAACCCTGCCCTCTGTCACTTTAAAGCTGTTTCCCCCCCTTATCCTGCGACTCCAGGCCCAAAAGGCACCCAAGAACTCACCGTCCAGGTTATCTCCATGTTGTTCTTTTGGGTGCCTGCACCTTGAACTCCCGTTGGGTTGATTTCAGGACCTGAAATTCACATTGTAAAAAAAAAATAAAAATAAAAATGAATAATAATAATTTTAAAAAAAAGGCATTTTATAACGTTGAAAAAAATGACCCTCTGAGTGGTTAAAAACCCTTTAACCGTGCAAGCCAGAAGGACTTCCAAGACAGAAGTTAATGGCCTGATTTTTCCAGAAGTTCCCATTCAGGTTAATGGAACATGAGGCTCTCAGTACTCTTGGAAACCAGGCCATTTATTTAGGAGACTCTTTTTTTTTTTTTTTTTTTTTTTTTTTTTTTTTTTTTTTTTTGTCTCCCCCCCCTGCCAAATGTCCTAAATCTTTGAAAGGCAACCACTGAGAAGCAGCCCCAGGAGCCGAGCCCATCCCTTTGAAACCCGAGCAATGTCGGGAGCCAACACTAGATGCCAGCAGATCCTGCAGGAATCTCCGGGCAAAGAGGGGTGGGGAGGAAACAAGAAACGCAGCAGAACTCCTGAACTTCCCTGCGAATTCCCCGTGGGAATTTTCCCATGTGTTGCCCAAAAAAAGAAAAAAACAAAGCACTGGGCAGACAAAGGGAAGACTGGAGTGTCGGTTGTGGGTTGGTTGTGTTGACATCTGCGTCATGGAGCGGTTTGGGTTGGAGGGATCTTAAAGATCACCCAGTTCCACCCCCTTCCACTAGCCCAGGGTGCTCCAAGCTGGCCTTGGACGCTTCCAGGGATGGGGCAGCCACAGCTCCTCTGGACAACCTGTGCCAGGCCCTCCCCACCCTCCCAGCATCAGTCTGGGCTCCTGCTCAGCTCTGACAATGAACGAGCGAGTCTGGAACAAAGTGCCTTTTGCTAGTGGCCGGTTTACACTCGAGTCTAATTTTCCAGCAGGCTCCCGAGCTTCCTGCGGTCAGAAAGGATGAAAAGCTTTCTTTGGAAAGCTCCTCTTCAGGCTGGAACCAGGGTTTCCCTTCCCCAGACTCTACCAGAGTGACCCTTGTGCTGGGGGCGGGCTGGGGGGGAACTCACGTGCCCCGTTGGTCTGGTAGCGCTCCGAGGGCGCGCTGGGCACGCTGCTGCCCACGTCGTTGACGGCAATCACCCGGAACTGGTAGTTGACGTACGGGGACAGGCTCAGCACAGCCGAGTTGACGCTGCCGGGGTACCTGGAGTGGTTGTGCCACACGCCTGGCTGCAGGCGATCCTCCTCGAACTGCACGATGTAGTCTGTGTGGGGATGGGGGGAGAGGAGGGAGGGCGGGCTGGGTGAGGGGCTGGGCTCACAGGGGGTGAGTTTTGACCCCCCCTACCCTGGGCAGGGGGCAGTGGGAGGGGGCCTGACCTGTGATGGGGCTGTTGTTGTCGTCGCCGGGGATCCACGTGAGCCGCACGCTCCGCTCCGCCAGGTCCGTCAGCTCCAGGTCACGGGGCTGGTCGGGCCGTGCTGTTGGCCCAGGGATGAGACAAATGAGGCTGGGATTGTCCCAGGAGCTGGGATTCCCAGTTCCCATCGCTTTTTCCCTGGCTGGCTTCACCCAGACCCTTGGGGAACATGTGCTCTGGGGCACTGATCATACCCTCTTAGGACTAGTGCTAATTGTTCCTTGCCTTTAAACCCTCCCTGTCCCTGCACCACTGGCGCTGGAAGCACCAGGCAGTGGCTCAGCAGGGGGTTGTTTGACCTTACACACAGCTGTCCAGAACAGAAATGCAAACAAATAGGATGGAAAGGACACAAAACCTCAACGGAAACACAAACTTGTTGAAAATCCCCTGGTTTCTTTATCCGGTTCCAAGAACCTGCTCATGCAAGAACAGCAATAAATTCTGTCCAGGTAAAGGTCAAGGGCTCAAAAATTCAAGGTGAATCTTTTTCTCCCATCGGGGCTCAGCATTTTCAAGTGCAGGTAAAGTGATTTTTTTTTCACTTTCCCTCAGGAAAGTGTCCCAAAGGCACTCTGGGAGCACAAAATGTTGTGACACAGGACCTTTGTACCCAGGGCCATCTGGATGGGTTTTGAAGGACAGCTTGGAGAGAGGACTTGGAAGCATCAGCTCCCAGATTTGTCAGCTCTGCCCTTTCCTGCTGGCGTTACTGGCGAAGGAAAACCAAAACCAACTTAGAAAACAAAACAAAGGCAACAAATTAGTGCTGATTACCTTTGGGTAAGTCTCTCAAACGGTTAGCAGGGATGGCTGCAAGGTAAGACAGTGGTTGTTAACAGGGTTAGTTTAGTCATTAAGCTTGGGTGGCCAAAGGAGCACCTGGCAAATGTAAAGTTACACACACAGGGAGGGGTTTCAGAAGGAATCGATCCTGTCTGGGGAGCAGAGCAGGGACATCCTTCCCCCAGACACCTCCAGCCATGCCCTCACAGCTTCATGCATGTTTGATCAGCCTGATGTGGTGTTAATGAGCCATTAGGGGGACAGGAAGGGGTATAAATCAAGGCCAGTGCAATTATTAGGGATCTGGGGTTGCTGCTGCACTCCAGCTCTTGGAGGGCACTGTGATGGCACTGGCAGGCCGTGGCATTCCCAGGAATCTGAGGTGGCCCAGGGGATGATAAATCTGTGTTTGCCAGGTAGATTCAGTGAACACAGGCTGAAGTCTGTCCCCTCCCTGTGCTGAGAAAGGGGACACACCAGGCCAGAATCAGCCCCAGCTGGGTCACCCCCAACTCCCCATTGCTCAGCACCCCAACACCCCCTTAAATTCACTTCCAAATTTAGGACTGTTCTCACAGAGCCTCGACATGCACGCTGGGGTATTTTTGGCCGTGTGTAATAACTCCTCTTCTATTTTTTCGCTCTCAAACACGAGGGGTTTTTTTCCAGCTCCGACTCAGTGCCGGTGCCTGGGACGAGGCAGCGCGTCCTTGCCGAGCCCTGCGAGGGGACAGCGGCTGTGCCAGCCCCTCCCTGAGCAGCCAGGGGGACAATCTGGTGAGCCTGGCCTTGAAGGGGCTCTGTTCTGTTAAAAACACCACCCTCAGGCGTGGGGAGCTTTACCGAGCACGGTGAGATAGGCCTTGGCTGAGTCCTTGTCCAGCTCCGTGCTGGCCACGCACGTGTAATCCCCTTGGTCCCTCTCAGCCACGCCAAATATCGTCAGACCATCGTCCTCTTTCTTCATCCTTCAAGAAAGCAAGGATCACACAACTCTTCCAGGCAGCAGGGCTGACTGTCCTCTGCCGGGATACAGCTCAGAGCCCGACCGGAACGGGAGAACGGCCCTGCTCTGAAGGGTTTATCAGCTGAGGACGTGCAGAGTTATTCCGGGAAACCTCATTTCCTAAGGAATCAGCAGATGTGCCCTGGTGTGTGTCTGGGGAATAATCACACCTTCAGGACAACAGCCAAGCCCGGGCTGGTGCCCTGGGATCAGATCCCCCTTCACAGGGAGGGAGTCAGCCGTGGAAAGGAAATTAAAGCTGCAGATAAACGTTAATTTTGAGGTGGGTTGTTATTAACTCACCCCTTTTATCGAGATGTCCTAAAATATCTGTAAATAAAACCTACAGCAAGGCCCTGATTTACTGATAAATCAACTGCAGTTGCTGAGCAATGTCTGCTGGAAGGAGCTGGCGAATGAAAAGTATCAAGAACGTCAAATGCTGCCTGGATGGGAACTGAGCATTTACCCATATTACCCTGAAATGTCCTGTACAAAGCCCAGCGACCCTGGGAGAGCAGCCCCATGAAACTTTTGGAGGCACAGACCTGTTTCCCAGGTACAGGGGGGCGTCGTCCTTCAGCCAGGTGACCGTGAGCCTGAGCGTGGGGTCGTGCTTGATGCGGCAGTGGAGGCGAGGCATGGAGCCCCTCTTCACCACCTGATCCTCAGGCCCTCTCACAATCCTGGTGGGGTCTGCACAAGGTCAGGAAGGAAGTGTCAGGCACCAAACCCCTGGCTCTTGGCTCAGGAGCTCGAGGGAGGTTTGGTGGTGCTTGGAAAGGACACCACACATGTCGTGTTTGTCCAGCCTGATGGATGAATGGCCTGCGATGCAACTAAATTAATTTAACAAGCCATTGATTCATGCTGAACCTTTAAAAAAAAATAAAAAAAAAAAAAAAGCCCCAGTTTTCTGAGTCAGCAATCAGAATTGCTGAACAGAAAAAGCCCTGGTAGAAACAATCCAGAAGGTGTTTTGCTGTCCTCGGTTAACCCTGAGGAAGACTTTGCTTTGCTGTTTGCACCGCTGATGGCACCTCCCAGCTCAAAACCCACACCCAGCCCTTCTGCAGCTCCAGTGTCTCCACAGCCTTGCTTTTTTTTCCCAGCACCACAAAGGAATTTGCACCATTTTCAGGATTCCAGCTCTGAATCACACAGTGCCTGTCCTGCTGACAGCCTTGGGCACACCACCACCCCCCCCTGAACCGAAACTGTGATTTCTGCTGCTCGTTTCAGAAGACCCAGGAGCCCTTCATGCCCCTACCTTTGACCTCCAGGCGAACCTGGGCCTCTGCTTTCCCCAGGATGTTGGTGGCAACGCAGGTGTAGATGCCCTGGTCCTCCTTGCGGGCCATGAACATCTCCAAGCTCCCGTTCTCGTGCGCCTTGTAGTTCCCTCCATCCAGCGTGTTCCCCTGGCCGTTCTTAAACCTCACAACACCACAGAGAGCTGTTGTAAGGGAAGAAAGAGCAGGAAACACCCCCCCCACCCCACTCCTCCCCATCCCTCAGCCTAGCAGGGCACGTGTTGCAGCTCTTACCATCGCAGGGTGGGGATGGGGGAGCCGAAGAAGGGGCAGTCGAGCCGGGTCCTGTTGTTCTGGATGACCTTGATGAGCTGGTTGCGGGGGGCCAGGATCCGCGGGGGCACATCTGCAAACGGCACAACAAAACCCGGGGGCTGGGTTCTGCTGCTCCTTTCCAGCCTTTTCGTCCACCTTCCCGCTGCTTCTGCTCGCTTTTCCCACTTCTGGCGCTTCCAAGAGCCGGCGGAGCTTCCCCAGTCCCTCTCCTGTCCCCCTCCCTGCCAGCCTGGCTGCACGACTCAGCTTTTGTCTTAGGACTCGCTCAGCCAGGCCTGGCTTGGCAGACCCAGGGCAGTGGATTTGTGCTCCAAAGCCCAGCTGCAGAGCTCAGGAGCCTTTGTGGAGTAGCTAATGACAGAGAGGAAGGCAAAATGGAGAACTTCTGTGGGGAATAGGGGAATGTAAAAGAGGGAGAGCAACTATTTACATGGGCAGGTGGTGATAAGACAAGGGGGAATGGTTTTAAATAGAAGAGGAGAGATTTAGGTCAGATGTTAGGAAGAAATTCCTCTCTGGGAAGGTGGGCAGGCCCTGGCACAGGTTTGCCCAGAGAAGCTGTGGCTGCCCCATCCCTGGCAGCGTCCCAGGCCAGGTTGGATAAACTTGGTGCAACCTGGGCTGGGGGAAGGTGTGTCCCTGCCAACAACAGCAGGTTGGAACTGGGTGATCTTTCAGGTCTCTCCCGACCCGAAGCAGCCCTGGGCTGTGTGACAGCGGGGTGCAGGGGGCTGTCCTCACCCAGCACGCTGACGAAGGCGTTGGCCAGCAGGTAGCCGTGCTCGTTGGAGGCGTTGCACTGGTACACGGCGCTGCTGCCGATCTGCGTGTCCCGGAACACGATGGTGTCCCCGGCCACCTCCCGGCTGGGGTTGTGGGCAGAGGCTGCAACACAGGAGAGAGCTCTTTAAAGTCTGTTTTAAGCTCTGAATTCACCGTTCAGTGCCACTGCACATCCTCCCATCCCGGCCCGGGGAAAAGCGGGTGATGGCCCTAATTAGCAGGAACAACCCTAAACCAGCAGTAAACCTAAAGATACTGCTCTAAACTAGCAGTAAAGACTCCAAACTAGCAGAAGCTGCTCTAAACTGGCAGCACCAACCCTAAACCAGCAGCAGGGACACGTGTGTGATGCTGGAGGCCCCAGCAGTGCCTGGCACCCCACCAGCAGCTCTGGCTCGTGCTCAGCCACGATTTCCCTGGGCTGGGTTTGTTGTGGAGGAGGCACAGCCCCCCCTCCCAGCTCACCTTCGATGGGCTCCCCGTTCACCAGCCACTGGATGGAGGGTTTGGGGTTCCCGTTGGCTCGGCACACCAGCCTCCCATCCTCCCCGGGGGCCAGGATGAGGTTTTCGGGTTCATCCAACCAGTATGGGGCAGCTGGAGGACACAGCAAGGCACCAGTTACACGGGCAGCAGCTCCCCCTCCTCCCAGATCCCCTCTGCTGCTCCCTGGGCATGTCAGACGGTGGGAGCACCGTCCTCTCTGGTGGGATTCCCCCGGTGTGGGCAGGGTGGGGGTCTCCTTCCGCCCCATCCTTGGCCACACAAACCCACACCTGTTTACACCAGTGAAGTTCAGCATCTCACGCTGCTTTTAGGTGAGTTTGGACAAGGTGGCTCCAAACTGAGAGCAAGTTTAGGCTGAATATGAGGGAGAAATTCCTTCCCTGTGAGGGTGGGGAGGCCCTGGCACAGGTTGCCCAGAGAAGCTGTGGCTGCCCCATCCCTGGGAGTGTCCAAGGTCAGGCTGGGTGTGGCTTGGAGCGACCTGGCCTAGAGGAAGGTGTCCCTTCCAACACAAACCACTCCGTGATTCCACCAAGCCACACGGATGGCAGAGAACCAGCCCCCCCCCCAGGAAGCCCCCAGTCAGTCAGAGCACCCCCCACCCCATCCCCTCCCAGCTCCTGGCGTGGAGGTCCCCGAGATGGGAAGGTAAAGGTGACGTACCCTTCACTCTCACCGAGATCGTGTGGCGGATGCTGCCCATCTTGTTGGAGGCCAGGCAGAAATACTCCCCGGAGTCCTCCTCGGACACGTTGGAGATGCGAAGGGCCTTGTTGAAGTTCTCCAGCTTGGTTTTGCCCACGGGCAGCTCCCCTCCTTTCTTGTACCACATGATGTCCGGTGCTGGTCTAAGGAGAGGGGAGCAGGTAAATGCTTTTGGCAGACAGGGGAACGGCTCAGAAGAAAGCAGTTGATAGTCCTGCACTGGGAACCACTCCCACCCAGGGAAAGGGCTGGTCCACCCCCCAGCCAGGACCCTGAGCACCAGCAGGTGATCAGGAGCAGGGTTCAGCTCATGGCCTGTGCTTGGGGGATGCAGAATCAGAGAATCCTGGAATGCTCTGGGTCAGAGCCATCCCATTCCAACCCCCTGCCGTGGGCAGACCAGCAGGGCACTGGTGCAGAACCCTGAGCCCAGGACCATGACTGTCCTCACCCACAGTGTGGTGGGGAGCTCCCAGGGGATTCACAGATCCAAGTGGGGAATTATTCCTGGACAACTACCTGGAGACACCCACGAGCCTCAGCTCTCTGTCCCCTCAGCGCTTTTGTGCATCAAGTAGGTTTATGAGAGTCTTGTTAATGGCAGTTAGGAGGGAGGAATGACCCCTTTTTTTTGCCAGACAGAGGTGTTTCCATGGTGATCCAGCACCCTGGTCCCAGTCCATCCCTCTGGGAACGATGCCCTCCCCACCCCGGGGTACGTACACTCCGGATGCAATGCACTCCAGCAGGAGATCCACCCCTCGGAGCACCATCTGGCTGCTGGAGGTCCCGTAGGGGTACATGAAGCTGGGAGTTGTTTCCGTGATCCCTCGGGCTGGAATCAGCAGGAGA